TATGTTTTGTCAAATGCTGTCTCTGCATCTATGGAGAGGATCATGTGGTCTTGTCCTTTGTTTTATTGATGTGATATGTTACATTTATTGTTTTGCAGTTATTGAACCAGCCCTGCATCCCAGGTATAAATCCCACCTGCTTGTGGTGAATAAGTTTTTAATGTATTGTTGGATCCAGTTGGCTAGTATCTTGTTGTTTTGCATCCATGTTCATCAGGGAAATTGGTCTGTAGTTCTCCTTTTTAGTGGAGTCTCTGCCTGGTTTTGGAATCTAGGTAATGCTGGCTTCATAGAAACAGTTTGGAGGTTTTCCTTCCATTTCTATTTTGGAAGAGCTTCAAGAGAATAGGTGTTAACTCTTCTTTAAATGTTTGGTAGAATTCCCCTGGGAAGCCATCTGGCCCTGGACTCTTGTTTTTTGGGAGATTTTTGATTACTAATTTGATTTCTTTACTGGTTATGGGTCTGTTCAAATTTCCTATTTCTTCCTGTTTCAGTTTTGGTAGTTTATATGTTTTTAGGAATTTGTCCATTTCTTCCAGATTGCCCATTTTATTGGCATATAATTGCTCATAATATTCTCTCATTATTGTTTGTATTTCTGCTGTGTTGGTTGTGGTCTCTCCTCTTTCATTCTTGATGTTATTTATTTGGGTTCTTTCCTTTTTCTTTTTAATCAAACTGGCCTAGGGGTTTATCCATTTTGTTAATTTTTTCAGAGAACCAGCTCCTGGTTTCATTGGTCTGTTCTGTTTGTTTGGTTTCAATAGCATTGATTTCTGCTCTAATCTTTATTATTTCCTGTCTTCTGCTGGTTTTGGGTTTTACTTACTGTTCTTTTTCCAGCTCTTTAAAGTGTAAGGTTGGGTTGTGTATCTGTGACCTTTCTTCCTTCTTTAGGAAGGCCTGGATTGCTATATTACTTCCCTCTTATGACTGCCTTTGCTGGGTGCCAAAGGTTTTAGATAGAGAAGAATTGTTTATATGTGATCTTTCTAAGCAGAAAAGAAAGGCTCTATTGAGGAATAACGTAGAATTCCCTATATTAACACAAGTCTGGAGCATTTATCAGGGTTATATTAGGCAGTGATACATACCCAGTGTTCCTAAATTCATATTTATATTTTCAGAGGTAATATTGGTGGAGGTGACAGGATAGGGAGGATTATCTATGCATTACATTGAAATCAGAGTTTGAAAAAGTCTCTCACTTATTTGTATCATATGAGAGCTGTGTGTTTTCAATAATTAAATGTAACTCACTGGACAGTGTTTATATGGTTATGAGTAGATTTGTTTGTTTAAACTTAAGTTAGCTGCTACTAATAATTGAGTTTGCAGTCTCTCACATTCCTGGGGTGTCTGTGAAATAGACATTGATAAACACCAGTGTAAAAGTTCTGAAAGAATATGTGCTTTGATAGCTCTGTCTGTTCTCAGAAATATCTTTTGGAAATGTGGATAATCCACCTGGTTAGTATTTTATATGAATGGATAATACAGATTTTAGTTTATAGTATAAATCTAAGAAAACAAAAAGAGTTCATGTATTGTATATACTGGATTGAAGAAGTCACACAAAAATTTCCATCTGGGATTTTTTTTTTAATGTATAGGTGAGACTTTCCTATCTCCTCAAATCTAATTTATTACCTGTTTCTGCAGTGGAATAGATTATACTTAGCTTAAGTGTCATACTAAATATTTTATGCCTTACAGTTAGTTCTATAAAGCTATTTAGTCATCTTTATTAATCACCTTTCTTTAATGTCCCTAGGTTATTGAATCTTTGGGAATTGTTATTTATAAAGCACTGGACTATGGTTTGAAGGAGAATGAAGAAAGGGAGTTAAGCCCACCCCTAGAGCAGCTCATTGATCACATGGCCAACACGGTCGAAGCTGATGGCAGCAATGATGAGGGCTATGAGGCTGCGGATGAAGTCCTGGAAGATGAAGAAGATGAAAAGAGAAAAGTCTCAGCCATCCGGTCATATAGAGATGTCATGAAGGTAAAGAGGCAGTTTACATAGTACTTGTTTTTAAGAGTTATTTCATTTTAGATTCTTAACTGTAGAGCACAAATTGATGGTTTACCAGAGGGGAGGTGGACAGGGGGATGGGTGAAACAGGTGATGGAGATTAAGGAGTGCACGTGTTGTGATGACAACAGGTGTATGTAAGTGTTGGATCACTGTATTATACACCTGAAAGTAACATTAACAACGTGTATAACTAACTGGAATTTAAATGAAAACTTTTTTTAAAAAAGCATTTGGGGAAAAAATAAGTTATGAACTATAAAAAGTAAATGGGAATTCAGCATTTGATCATAGTTTGTAGATCTTTAGCTATAAGTGAAATGAATAAGGAACTAAAATACTCCTGGTTTTGTGATTTGTTCATAGCTTCAACATGGCCTTTTGTGATTAAATGATAACTCTCAAAAATCCACTTTTAGATATTATATGCTCCTAATATTACATATTATACACCAGCTTAACTGCACATTATGTCTTGAGTTGACTTCTGCATTTTCTTTTATGGACTAAATAACAACTGTGATCTAATTTATATGAAGATTCTGAATCTGAAGTATCACAGCTGATTGTGTAACTTGTTTTCTTGACCTACTCAGTGCTATGTATATGTAATGAAACAAGTTCTGTAGCTTGAATTGAAAATTTCTTCTTAGTTAAATTTTTGTGTGTACTTGAAGAACATAATTTCTATAATGCTAAATGTACAGAGATTAAAATTAAGATTTGTCAGTTTAGTCTTAAAAGAGAATTCTGTTTAGAGCTATTTGTATATGGTGTTTACTAGATTTTGTAAGCAATACTGGTTATATATCACTTATTTTACAACTTTTTAAAAAACATCCCAGAGAAGGGGCGCCTGGGTGGCACAGTCGGTTAAGCGTCCGACTTCAGCCAGGTCACGATCTCGCGGTCCGTGAGTTCGAGCCCCGCGTCAGGCTCTGGGCTGATGGCTCGGAGCCT